CTGTTTCATAAGAAATGTTGTATTTTCTTAAACATTATTGAATAAACTTGATGTGTTTACTGCTCATATCTCTACTTCTAGTTAAATACTGTATAATACTGAATCACAACTGACACTATTTTAGGGCACTGAAGTGCCAATCATTAGATGGGCAGGGCACAAGAAATGCAAACTAACTCCACTGGCTCTTTTCTTCATTTGTCATCAAGCTCAATGCTTGGCTATCTGTGGTCAATACAAAAAAAAAAAACAAAAACAAAAACAAAAAACACAAAAACAAAACTAGTACTTTCTCTTAAAGGATTGAAAGAAGGTCTGAAGTAAACAACATGTCCTTTGTTCATACAATAGTCATTCTGATACCTGAGTGACATTTGGAAGCAATGAACAGTTTGGCGATGTTCTACTTAACAGCTGTAACCTTAATATTAGAAACAAAATGGGGACACACAGTTGCCCATATACAATGGCTGGTGTTGACAAAGAAATTTTCCATTCTTCGTCAGCACCCACTACTATACCTAATATCTTAGGGCAACAGGAAATAACAATGTTTTCTCAGAAATTTGGTCTCTTATATGAATCGTGTCTTCTAGGGCCATACATGTAAGCTGCTTCATTCCTTATTGGGTCTTGGTTCATATGCCAATAAAAATTGCCAGGGGATATACTGTCAGGCTTTAGGAAGGTAATAAAATCTAATAAATACCCAGGAAGAGAATTCCCTAGCTCATACTGGGGGAGGGGGTGGGTAGTGGTGGTGATTGGGATGGGTTCCTGAGAGGGCTTCATGGGCATGTGACCTGAGCAGCTGCACAGTGCTTACAATGGGCCCTGCTTGGTTTAATACTCTGCTGTTGCTCTCTTGATGTTCTTAATAATTTTATCTTTGATCTTGTGTTTTGCACTTGAAGACTGATGAGAGAATGGAGCATGCATGTGGGCAAAGGAAACGCACACAACATGTGCTCTGCTGGTTCCTTGCACATAAGCCTTAGCAGTGCCTCAGGAGCAGGACTATGGTGGAGCCATAGTGCCTGGAAGGTAAGAGAGACTCAGAGGGAGCACAGGGGAGTGTTACCACAAGACTAAGTGGGAAAGCAGACTATTCTGAGAGGCATACTTTCCACCTGAACCAGAACTTGCTTTGAGCACAAAAAGCAGTGTTGTTCTAAGAACAATAACCAAGAAATCATATATATCCTTAGTTGTGTTACTTCTCTGTGTTAGTCAATAATTTACTCTGAAAATGATGTCAGAGAAGGAAAAGGTAAAACAGAGGGACTCATAGTTCCTTTTCCTATTAGCCCTTCCTTACTCATCCATGAACCGAAGGAAGTGTTGGTATAGTATGTACGTATGAAGAATGAGAGAAAAATAGGTAAGTTAGTTTTATGCAGTCTTTTCACTGTTCAGAACAGAACATATCCGTGCACAAGTCACAAAAATATGAGCTGTGTCATTGTGGTAATTCCATATGAGTTAAATGCTTTAGCATTAGTATATTAAACAATATAAAAACTGATAAAAATTAATGCTAATAATCTAAATTTTTAATATTTCTTGACTTAAAGTGACATTAGATAGCAAATAAATACACCATGACAAGTCGAGAGAAAAAGCAGAAAAAGAACGGAAAAAACTTAATATTGTAGCATGTTTAAAAACACCTTCCAAAACACCTGGGTGGCTCAGTGGTTGAGTGTCTGCCTTTGGCTCAGGGCGTGATCCTGGGGTCCCAGGACTGAGTCCCACATTGGGCTTCCTGCATGGAGCCTGCTTCTCCCTCTGCCTGTGTCTCTGCCTCTCTCTGTGTGTCTCTCATGAATAAATAAATAAAATCTTAAAAAAAAATTAAAGACACTTTCCTTGCTTTTTGAATGAGGGGCCCTACATTTGCATTCTCTTCCAGGACCTCTTGGTCCCAAGCCCTGGTTTTAGATATATCCAAAGTAGTACTAATTTTCTCAGTCCTTGGGGGAACTTACAGAGGCTTGAGATGGTTGCCCCTGAAATCAGGCAGCCTTGACTCTGTGCTAAGATTAGAACTTTCAAGGTGGGCCATGAAGTGACAACGTTGGGAAAACTCAGCTTCCTAGAAGCTTGGTTTTGTGTCGGTCTATCACACATACTCTGTACTCTGATGGCCTGACCATGCATTAAATGCTAAAAATCCCAAGTTTACCACTCGAAAACACTCGGACTCCTGGGCTTTCTATGGTGTCCTGTCTGGAATGCCATCCCTCCTTCCTGGGGACAGCTTCCCTATCATCCCTCCAACCTCAGCCTACATGATTTCTCTGCAGAGAGATTTTTCCCTGGTCCTGTTTCACTACATCCTCTATTGAGTTGCTTTATACAACATTTGTGTGTCTTCTCTGTGATGTGCGGGGTAAAAACCCTATACCTTGCTCCCTGTGTATTGCAAGCTCCTGCTGCTGGGCTCAGCAGTTTTCGAGTCCACACTGTTTGTTTGCTAAATGAGAATGCAAGGAGACATCTGTGATTAGGATGTGTTAGGTTATTCAGTGTTTTTCAAAATTCAAATCTAAGACTTATCTCTACAAAGCAGCAAATTCCAGACATCAGCTGCTATACAATCCAGTTTAGACTTTTGCCCAAGCATGTGAGGACCATGATGTTTTAACAAAATGTTAAGGGAGCAGTTAAATTTTAATAGCCTAGGCAGACATCTATAATTATTTAAAAAGTGTAATAATTAGTAATTTAGTAATGTTTTAAAAAGCAGAAGTACAGAAAAAAAAACCCTTTTTTCTTTTTTTCTACTTTTCTCAACGTTTCTTATTATACGTTTGGTTTCTGGCCTATATTAGCATTTTCCGTAGGCAGAAATTAAACAATAGAGTAGTTAAGTGATTACAAAGCTTTCCCCATTGATTACATCTTTATAAAAATTATATATAGAATTTCATTTCTTATTTTATTCATTTTTAATTTTTAAAAAAGATTTTATTTATTTATTCATGAGAGACACAGAGAGAGAGAGGCAGAGACACAGGCAGAGGGAGGAGCAAGCTAAATGCAGGGAGCCCGACGCGGGACTCGATCCAGGGCCTCCAGGATCACACCCCGGGCTGAAGGCAGCGCTAAACCACTGAGCCACCCAGGGATCCCCCTCATTTCTTGTTTTAAATAACTTATTTCAACAGCATGAATTGAATCTTCTCAAGATATAAAAGAAAAATACTTAAATTTTTATAATGATCAACATAATAGGTTTTGTTACTTTCCCTTTCTTGATTTCTATACCAAGTTGTCCTCTGAGATGTCAACGTGGTTATCTTCTGAGACACTGGACAATATAGCATTTACTAACCCACATTAGCATCAGTAGCCCTGGCTGGCATCCACATTAGTCTAATGCGATTCATCGAAAAGTTTTTCAAGTGACACTGAATCTTATTCTTTGAACTTGTAACAATATTGTTTTCCCTAAACCTGATTATTCTGATGCTATATTCATTCTTATTGGAGAAGGCAGTGTTGAACAAAATAACAAAGCATGTTCTTTGTAATGAGAAATTTGATAAGTGGGGAAGGTGACGTGCCAAAAATCACAATGGACTTATAGAATGCAGAGTTTTCTTGTTTGCAAATGATTTTTCCCTGCCTTGGTCCAACATACTTGACTGATGAGTGTCCAGCTCATCCTAGTTGACATGCAAACTGACAAGCCAATCGCTGAATAGGTCTTTCTCATTTCTGCCAAAAACCTCTTTCAAGCTGTTTGTGAAATAAAAACCCCCATGCTGAAGGCTGAATTGACACCCGCTCTAAGATTAAGTCTAGAGTGCTGTGGATATCACTTCAGAGAATGCCATCTTCCAAACACACACCACCAGCCTGGACAAAGTGCGAGGGAGCACGCAGAAGGGAATAATGTTGCCCTGGCCCCCGGGGAGGGACCAGATGGGACCTAATAGCTCTTTTCTACTACTAATTTCTATGATAATTCCAAGTTGCCACATGGCATATGTATTTTTTTTTAAATCTAAAGACAGAATATTAGTCAATACAGTGACCAGGATTTTAATGAATGGTATTTTTCATGAACTGTATCTATTCATACATGGTATTTCTCACCCACCCTCACCCCCACCCCTTCAGCAACATATCACTTATGGTTGGAGTGGGAGAAGTATAGACAGAGGTCAAACACAACATGTTTATACTCATTATCAATACCAGTTAGAAACAGAGAAATTTTAAGTTTTACTAGGAGGTCAGATGCATTTTGTAGCAATTTTATGATGTCACCTTAATTTCTTTTTCTTATAATCAGACATTATGCCTAGACTTATAAAGTGTGCTGACTGATGTCTGAGAAAAAAAAATTACAAAAGTGAAATTTCTTCTGGTTTTAGGGAGAAGATCAAGGGTTGGTGAAGATTTGGGAAACATTACAAAAGGACTTTTAGCCATTCTCACTGATGAGTTCCAAAGCAACTTCACTGAGGATGTCTTTCCCTGTCCCCCAGCCAGATGCAACTGCCCTCTCCTCTGACCTCCTGGAAGGCCATTCATACTTCCAGTGGCACTCATCACATTCTTTGATTGATTAGATTCATTTGTTGTTGGCTTCAGGTAGGCACCCTGGGTGACCCCACTACATTTTCCTCAGCATCTCACCTTCCACACACAATAGACTGCAACTCACAAGGATGGGCAGAAGGGAACCCAACCTCAGGCAAAGCACTGGGAAAGGATGAACCACTCTTAATGGTCACAGCTTCTTGGCACAGACTTACATGACTACATTATGAACATAAACTCTTCTGGGGTTTGGTGAAGCACAGTATTATTATACATAATATAAATTAATAGATGGTATGAAGATCACACAATGTTATTTTTAACACATACTGAAAAACGTTCTCTATTCCCTCTTCAACCCAGTGAATACTTACCTCTCATGGCAAACTGCTGAGAATCAGGATTTGGGGATAGTTAATAGGTACATACTCAAAACAAAAAGATACAAGCTCTGGTAGAGTGGGATGAGGCACTTCACGGCCCTGCTGGCATTGATGCATGTGGCACATATAAGGCTTGGCAGGAGCTTCCCACTCACTATGGCTCCGTCAAACAGAGGCCCAAAAAACGGAACCTGTTGATTCAAAACAGAAAAACACTTACTTTTCAAAACCAGTAAAAATCAAACTAAAGACACGAGAATAGCTGGTTGATGTCTCAGACCTGTCATGACCATGCAGACCATCACCCACAGAAGAGATGCTAACCTTAGCATGATACGATGGAGGGCTTTCAAATCAAGCAACACAGGTCTGCTCTACAATACTCCTCCATTATGAACTCATCAACAGAACTGCTCATGACAAATTCTCACTGGTTTATTATTTTTTCCTTGTGTTGTCATTTACAGAAATAGCATTATTCTTTCTAAGTGCCTGCATCATGTGGATTATGCACAATACACAGCCATGTCTCATTGTACACCTCCTAGTCTTGCAACTTTCTGAAACCAGTTTGGAATTGGTAGTGTTTCTGCATGGACCCTGATGTGTACTGACTCTTAAAGGAGATGATGACTATCACTGTTAGCAGCTACAAGGTCCTACTTAGAGTCCTCGTTCTTCTTGAACCTTCTTTCCTCTGCTTCCAAGATAATTGTGTTACCCTCATTTCTATCTACTTCCTTATTAGAGGCATGGCTTTCCTCCACTGGACCCACTTTTACTACCTGGGCAACCCATGAAGTTCTAGTGCATATCTTTTCTCTCTCACTCTTTTTTTTTCTCCATTAACAAATTCATCAACTCCATTTACTAATATGGAGACTGTCAGCTCCATGAGGTCAAGGACTGAATCTGCCTTGTAACTCTTGGTATTTATTCACTCTCACTTGTTTATTCATTTATTCAAAAATATCTATTATGTGACAGACATTGTTCTATTCACTGAGGACACAGCAGTGAATAATAAAATTTCTTATTTCACTGAGCTTACAATTTACTGGAGGCTTAAGAGAATGAACAGTATAAATACATTATATATATATGGTACTAAAAGCGCTAAGGTGGAAAATAAAGCAAGGAAGAGTAATAGGACTCTTTTTAAAGGGAGATGTCCTCCAATTTTAGATCATATGGCCAGGGAGGGCTTTAAGGAGAAGATGGTTATTTCAGTAGAAGCCTGACAGAAGTGAGGGAATGAATCTCATGTTATATGAGGACATCTGATGCAAGAGCATTCTAGGCCGAGGAACACCAAATAGCCAGCCCTGTGGTGGGAGTGGAACTGCTATGGTTAAGAAACAGCAACTAAACCACAGAGGATGGAGCTGAGTGAGCAAGAAAGAGAACAGAATGCAATAAAGTTAGGCCTGTCCTAAGACGGGCTGTAAAGGGTTCTAGATTTCTGCTCTGAACAAGATAAAAGCCTTCTAGAGGGTTTAGGGAAGTAGGAGAGCTGATTTCATCTACATTTTAAAGGTATGTTCAGGCTGTTGTGTTGGGAAAATTGCAAAAAAGTAAGCATTATGGAAAACAGGGAACTAGTGAATGATCAAGGCAAGAGATGGTGATGGCTTGGATCAGAATGATGGCCAAAGTGGTGAGAAGTGGTAGGTTTCTGGATATAGTTTGAAGGTAAACAGGATTTGCTGAGGATTACTATTGAAGTGGAGAGAAAAAGAGGCATCAAGGGCAATGCCATGGTTTATGCCGGACAACTGGAAGATTGGAGCCACTTTTTCCTAAAATGGAGAAGATCAAAAGGGAAGGTCACTAGTTCAATTTTAAACTTGCTAAGTTTGAGATGCCTATTAGATATTGGTGGTGATGTATGGGGGTGGCAGCAGATATACCAGGCAAGAAGTCAAGGGAGAATTCCCAGTTGTAAATTCATAAGAGTTATTTATAGATGATGTTTCAGCCATAAGATTGGATGATCAGATGAGAAGGAAAGAGGTCCAAGGACTAATCCTGTGGCCCTCCAATATTTAGAGGTTGGAGACGTGAGGAAGAATTAGCAAAGAAAACTGAGGAGGAGATGATGGAGAGAAACCTCCAGGTACTTGGCACATGGTTGGAATGCAAATAATGCCTGAATGGTTGAAACTGATTGTTATTTTAAATAATTTAAATAATTTAATAAATGCAGGTCTCCAGCATCGGTCTTTTTACTTGTGTCAAAGGCCATCTATTTGTGGAATATCTTTTTATCTTTTTTATCTTTTCCACATGGTTGGAAATGGGAGAGGGGCTAGGGATACAATGGTAAAAAGAAGACTATCTCTGCCCAAAAGAGTGGACATGAGGAACAACTGACGTAAGAAATCTACAAACTGGGGCACCTGGGTGGCTCAGTGGTTGAGCATCTGCCTTTGGGTCAGGTTGTGATCCTAGGGTCATGGGATCAAGTTCCGTTCCCTGCAGGGAGCCTGTTTCTCCCTCTGCCTGTGTCTCTGCCTCTCTGCATCTCTCATAAATAAATAAATGAAAACCTTAAAAAAAAATCTAGAGACTAACATCCCTCAACAAAGGCATACAAATCCTTTACAAATTTTTAGCAAATTACAGTAAAGACACTGTATCTTGACAAAGTGGTATTCTGCATAAAAACCAAGGTTGGTTTAACAATAATAAATCCATTAATGCAATTTACTACATTAATAAAGAAGAAAAACTGTATGATCTTCTTGATAAAGAAAAAGCACACATAAAATTCTACTCTCATTCATGATTAAAAAAAATTCCCAGCAAGCTGGGAATAGGACTTCCTCAATTTGATGAAATCTTCAAGGAAAAAAAACTATAACATAATTAATGGTAAAATATTAAAGCATTCCACCTAAATCTGAAAAGGCAAGGATGTCTATGTAACCTTTTCTATCCAACATTTTTGAAGGTCCTAGTCATTACAATAAAGAAAATAAGAGAAAGAAAGGAAGAAAAAAGAAAGAAACATAAAGATTAGAAACAAGTGAAGTTATTTTTATTTACAGATAACATGATTATCTACATGAGACTTCCAAAGGAATTTAACTAGAACTAACCGGATTTTGAAAGGTAATAAGATACAATATACCCGCCAAATCAATTATACTTCTGAATGTTAGCCACCAACAATTGGAAAATGACATTTACATAATGGCATTAAAAAACATCAAATGCTTAGGAATAAATGTGACAGAAGATGTGTACACACACACACACACACACACACACAACCACCAAACATTGCTGAGGAAAATTAGAGAATATCTAAAAAATGGAAAGATGTACAATGTTCATGGATTGGAAGTTTCCATTCTGTTAAGATATCAAGTCTGCTGAAACGGAGCAATAGATTCAGCACAAACTAAATAAAAATTCTAGCAAGCTGTTTTTATAGATATAGATAAGTTTTTTCATTTTAATATAAATTGAGAATGAACTTAAGTTAGCCAAGACAATAAGATTTATATTACCTAATTTCAAGGCATACTATAAAACTACAATAATTAATATATCAAAAAAATTAATATATCAAAATGTTGGCACCAGGATAGACAAATATACCAGCAGAACAGAAGATAGGGTCCAAGAACAGATCCAAGTGATTTGCAATAAAGCAGTACATCCATTTTATAGGGAAAGGAAAGTCTGTTTCAAAAAGGCACTGAAATAAGCAGTTAGACATTTTTAAAAGTGAATCTTGGCCTTTACCTCATACTACACACAAAAATTTAGATGGATTATTGATGTAAATAGTAAAGCTAAAACCACAAAGTTTCCAGAAGAAAACATATGAGAAAATCTTCACAATTTGGAGTTAGGCAAGGGTTTCTTAGTGTATAAAAGGCACAGATCATAAAAAAAAAAAAAAGCAAACTGGACTTAATAAAAATGTGAAACATTCTGCTCATAATGAAAGTGAAAAGGCAAGTCACATATATTCACCAAACTGGACATATCCTAAATGTACATCAACAGGAGAATGAATGAAAAATTTGTAGTACATTCAACCAACAGAAAATTCCACAGTAATGAAATGAACAAGCCACAACTACATGTAACATCATGGAAATGACCCAAATATTATGCTGAGTCAAAGAAACAAATACAAATAAGTTCACACTATGTAATTCTATTCACAGAAAGTTCAAAAGCAGGTAAAACTGATCAGCAGTGACAGATGTCAGAACAGTGGCCACTTTTTTGGGGGATTAGTGATTGGGAGGGATTGTAGGGAGATTTCTGGGAGCTGGCAGTATCCTATGTTTACATCTGGGAAGCATTAAATCACTTGCTTTGAAAACATCATCAAGCTGTACACTTAAATTTGTGGCCTTTTCTTTATTAATATTAGATTAAAAAAATTTTAAAGCAAGAATATATAAGATTTGTACAACACAACAAACTTATACTGACAGATACATACAAAATATTTCACCCAAAAGCTGCAGGAGACACATTCTTTTCAAGCATGAATAGAATATTTTTTAAAAATTGACCATATTCTAGGCCAAGGATCCAAAAACAGGGCCTATGGGGTCTAGTTCCAAGCCTGATGCCTTTTCTTTACAAGCTGAGAATCATTTTTACTTTTTTAAAATGGTTGAAAAAATACTTTGTGACATGTAATAATCATATGAAATTCAAAATCAGTCAAAAAATATAAAGTATTACTGGAACAGAGCCATAATCCCTCCCTTACATAGAGCTTACACCTGTTTTCACATGCAATAGCAGAACTGAGTAGCTGTGACAGACACTGTGTGGGCCACAAAGCCTAAAAGATTTACTACCAAAAAGATTTGCTAAGCCCTATTTTAGGTCATAAAGTCATAAAGCAAGTCTATGAAAATATCAAGGGATTGAAATCATACAATCCTCATTCTGTGCCCAAAGAGCTATTAAGTTAAACATTCACAACAGAAGGATTACTAGTACAAATGCCTATGTTTAGAAATTATGAAATATACTTCTAAATAATTTAAGGGTCAACAAAAATACTTATTTAAAAATATGTTAAGCTACATTGTCATGAAAAGAGTTGATAGTCCATATTGAAGCAGCACTGAGAGGGAATATGTGAGATGAAATGCTCACATTAGCAAGGAATAAAAAGCTGCAACTGAATGAGGCAGACATCCATCTCAAG